TTAAACGTGGCGAACGTGTGGGCCTTTAACTATCGGAGGGCTCGAGTTGTCCGTGATGTCGCCTCTTGCTCCTCCAGCCTCCATTTGATGTGTTACAGTGTTTGTGATGAACACGAGAGCTTAATTTAACTCAAACAAAGCTGTTGTTTTGCCAATTCATCTGACGCACTAATTTTACATCCCATTTCCAGTTTTCAAGATGTGCCATTTATGTGCAGCAAAATGTCATTCAGTAGCACAAGGAGGAGCTGCTGGACCCTTCTGCGAACATTGAATTTCTTCATCTTACCACTTTAAGTATTCTCAGTGTTTCTCCTCTTTTCTGCCGTTCTAGTGGGGGCGGTTATCCTAATCTGAACTCTGAAAAGTTAACTGACTGATGTCAGGCTTCGGAAATGAAGCATATTACACCAGGGGTAGACGACTGACGTTAAATCTTAAATTTGAAAATTCGGGGACAGGATGCCAAGTCAGGAGACTCTAGCAGGGGTAAAAGCACGGTTTTATCGCCAAGACAACCTGATAAGCTTAACCCAGTAAAACGGAAATAAACAAGATCGTCGTTAACTTAAGGTAACGACTTCCTATCATCAGTGAACCGATCAGAGTTGTAAAATGAATATTTCAACAAAGGGTTGTGGCGATGAGTGCAATCTGTACGAATGGTATCGAAATCACACTTATGCCGTGTGATATAAAACGCAATTTAAAATAACTATAAGCAGCAAGATTTATCGTTTTGAAAAATTTGCTACTGTGCTTTCATTTTATTCCTCACACAGATAATGGGTAAGCAATAGACGGCAGGTTGAATTTTCAGAGAAAAGTTTTATGAATAAAAGCAGGACTATAGTTACGAGGACAGTCTGGTAGATAGAAGGTGTTACCTAGACTCTACTGTTTATGCCTATCTAAACTTTCCATAGGGAAGATATTGTCCCAAAAAATAAGACATATGTTGGCGCTAGAGTCCATATCAGTTTAGCAAGTTAAATTCATCAGGGCCAAGTGTTGAGGTCCATACTTATTTTGCAAATTTGTTTTGTATCGGCCAATTTCTTGCGTTTAGAAGTTGACTGTCATAAGCCTCTGCGGAGATCCTTCTGCCTTTTGACAGAAAGATATTGAGAAGGGTAGCACAATAGTCCGGAAGGGAAAACTGCGTATTTTATGCAGCTGTAACTTGAGTGCAATTATCATAAAGTTAGTGCATAAAAGTACACTAAGTCAGATAGCTTGCAGCTTGCGATTTACAGAAATTGGGTATCTTTGGGACCTCATTTTGTACGAGCGAATGTCGATTACGCTTGTTGAAAGTAGGTTTGCCTCGATGTTTACGGCGGCCAAGTAGCAGCAGAAGGTATAGGTATAGGTCAATTACCCATGCTTTCTCTGCTAATAGGCCTTTCTAAATGTCAGTGTGATTTTCTTAGTGAAACCTGTTCCCGTGCAACGGCGCTGCGTCGAACGACGTACACTAAGCACATATAATCGGATGTACTTTACTTGTGGGATCGCTTCTACAGCGTGGCCAACTTAAGGGAGGTGCCCTTTGGTAAATTTACTGTAAAAATTTGCAGCACCTTCAGCCATTGTACTATGTGTGAAGAATGAACGACCCACGTACCGGGATTTAGCCCCTTCTAGCATCGTTCAACTACACAGAATGAGTTTTTAGGGTACTTTGCGTGAAAATATACTATTTGCACCCGCTTGTGGCTATATTTTTGTTTTAGTGTTTTACTGACGTCCAAACAGGGTTACAAAGTGGTCTAATAAATAAACGTTGATCCGGCACTCATGATTATTTTTTGTCATCTATTTTTTAAAAGGCGCTGCTCGGTCACTTGTTTTTCTATAATTTTGTACTGATGACTTCTGGTTTTACGTATACTATGTTTCGTGATCATTATCCCTAAGATACATAGTGTCTTGTAACACATCCTTTCGGAGATGTAGTTAGCGTCCTTAAAAGGGCCTTACGTCTGACCTGAAAACATCATACGACGCGAAACGCCTGAATTCGTTTACCGGGTTTGGTGCAATTCTGGACGGTAAAATTTCCTCGAAGAAACGTGGGATTTATACGGGCACAAATAGCCGAACATGCAGCAGTGGAAGAATCAGCCACAACAGTGAGAAGTGACGGTAGCCCCTAGGTTGCGGCTCATTCAACGGAATCCGGTCACACCTTCAGGTCTGATGAAGTCAAAATTCTCGTAGAAGTTGAAAAATGAGTGTGTTTTGAGCTGCGTGCATTATGGTTCGCCGACTCGCAGAAGACCAACAAGCTCAGTGACTACCGGTCTGTTTCATTTGTGCGAAAAATTTGCCAGAGCAGAGTAATTAGTTGGGTGGGGAGGGCGCTTGTGTCCAACAGTTTGAGTGACGGCGAGCCGAATGGTCAACAGCGATGATGAGATCATAGCCATTTACGACTTGATATGGGTGTGTCTTCCCCCGATGAACAAGAGAGCTGCTAACAATTAGTGTGGATGTGGTTACATGGCAAATACATTCCGCAAAATTGAACCCCTTCTTCCTCTATCACCTTCGTTTGCGATTATCCCTGAGAATTGTTTCGACTAAGAATCTGAAACGTCAGGCGAACGAACTTCTTGTTTTAGCGACCGAATTTTCTTTTTCTAAACACTGAATATGCACCGAAAGAGAAGACATTAATTGTTCATGTTTGTTGTGACAGCAGACCCGTCGATCCATCTGAGGACAGTTGTACTGTTTAAGGTTTGGGGAATATCATGGTGAACAATACTGTACGCAGGAATCAGCCTCTGCTGAAGGTTACAAGGGCTATGGATAGAGGATGTGTTGGGACCGCCTTGAATATCTTACGTCTTTTACGTAGTAACTGCATGACGAGAGCGCTCCTTATAGTTCCAGAAATATTCGGACTGCGCACTCTGTCGAAGGCCGAACACATAGTGTCGAAGCAGCTTCGGACATATTTTTCAGCAGGTTTTTTTTCAAATCGCAGCGGTAACTCTATTTTGTTAGGGTTGTCTAAACGCATACATTGAAACCTGCGGACCGGCCACTGTCTCATATTATCCCCGAAAAGAATTCAATTTCTTCAACGATTGAGGTCTTCGCGGAAAAAAGTATTACGTAGGGCTGCAGTTTATGCATCCCAACATTTCTCTGAAAAGTGACTGGGATGCGTTACGCACGCTTCGAGGGAGAATAGCCGATGATGTTCTGAGTTGATTCTACTTCGAAAGGTCAGTTGAAAGTCCAATTGCCAGACGAAGATGACCGGTTGCAACGAAAATGCTTGACTCTGAACTTCGGTTTTATGGTGGGTCCGACGTTATAACGGTTTGGCCAAAATAAGGAAAATATAGTTCTGATGGCTTGCGGACGATAGCCTGTTTTATTGTCTGCGAGTGTGTTCTTCACCGCGCATGTCCTTTGATCCTCCTTTGCATTGCAATCAATCAAGTCATTTTCATACTTTGGTTGTCCATCACTTCCGTTCTTTACAATGGCAATACTGTCCCATGGCTTTCTTTCTCGTCACTACTGTTTCGGTAGAAAACACGGTATTCTTCCATTATTTTCAACAAAAGACTAATCGCTTTCTTGTCTGGGCTTGGCACGATTCCCAACTCGCGATCTACCACGAATATTAAAAAGTGATTTGCATGTTGAGGTCGTCTGCTGCTCTGTCACACATCATTCTGGTTTTCGCTAAAGACCTCAGCTTTAAATGTGTCAAACAACACAATCCTCCCACACACTTTTCCCCAAAGTTGGTTCGACCAGCTTACTTGTTTGTATATAAAACCCACTTTTTTAATTCCCTTCTGCTGCAAAATTGTAATTTTTGGGTTTACCTTTCCAGAATAATGTTTACCATCGTACGTGCATTACGACCTAAGCGTTTGCTTACACTCATCGTCTAGCTTACGGCCGTCTGCCTTTCACACAAGAAAAAATACAGTCCGTATCTCAATCTGGAATAATTCGCACTCCAGCCGCCCTGGAATATGCAGCAGTCTTCTTCAGATTGCAGTCTGTTTAGCGACTAGAAGTCACCAAAGAAAGGACCCCGTTCCGTATCTGTATTGTGCGTCATGTCTTCAAGATCTTTCAGAATGTCTTCCCGTAAGCATGTTTTCTGACAGATTGAGACCGTTTCAAATTTAACGTATACTATCTGCGCCCTAATTTATTCAGAATACGGTCTTTCTTAGTTGTAAGTGCCATTCGTCTCGGAAAGGCTAAAACTGGCTTCAAGAATTCAGTAGCAAAGCCCAATATGACTTTGATTTTGAGTGCTGCTATAATTATGACATGCTGGCGCAAGTCGTGAAGATACCAAGTACATGGATTAGCTCCGACGTTTCCATCTAGGCGGCCTGAAATGTTAGATGTTACAATCAGTATTACTCATGTATCCTCTCGGATTACTTTTTGTTAAAATCCGTAGTCATTGGATGGATTATGATAGCACTAGTCTCCAACGGTCAAAAATTAGTGCAGTTCAGGTTTTTCGCCCATCACGTTCAGTACCAGTTACAGAAGTCATTTCGAGAGTTGGTGTATTTACAATAATTACACATTTCTTGCGCAAGACGTAGAAGTGCAGGCAGTTTCCTGAATTTGCAATTCCTGACAACAAACAAGTCTGAAATTTCATTCTTAAGCTGCTTTACGCAAGTGTGCTCAAGTCTAACTTCGTGGTTCCTTCTTTTTCCGAGCAGTAGGTCTAAACAATCGTTACCATGTCCTCCTTGAAATGAGTGATATAGATGGCAACCAGAACATTTCTGCCTTGCTTTCTGGGAATTGTTGTTTTATTCAAAAGGAAACGAACACTTATGGTCACTAGACTAGACAAAAATGGCCGGATACCAATTAAATTTTATTGTTTTGACCACAGCCTTGGAGTCCAGCGAACTTGGTTGTCTTCTTATGAAAGATAACTGATAATAATTCATTGAATATTTCTAGCCTATTGATATTCTACGATTGAAAAGTCAGTTGGCATAATCATCATCATCATCATCATCATCATCATCATCATCATCATCATCATCATCATCATCATCATCATCATCATCATCATCATCATCATCATCATCATCATCATCATCATCATCATCATCATCATCATCATCATCATCATCATCATCATCATCATCATCAGCATCATCATCATCATCATCATCGTCAGACCAATACATTTGCGCGTCAATGGTTTTTATAATCGTAAACAGGATATATATGCGTCTAGGTTAAAGGGTTAGCCAGACTCCATTTTCCCACACCGCCCGCATGACAGAGTCAGTGTGTTTAGGAATGTGGAGTTGGGGTGACAGGAGGAAGGAGAAGGGTTCCGGTGAAAGTATAAGCGCTATAAGTGCGTGTGACAGCTCGCAGAACTTACTGGCTATGGCCTCGGCAAAGATGTCTGCGCGAAATCCCAAATAACAGAATGGCTCTGATTATACAGTACCTCCCGATTTTAGTGAGAACGTGCACAAGCTATCCTATGTTACAGATCCGATGACATGTTCACTTATGCAATATGAAAAAAAAACAGTTGCGGTTTAAATGGACTATGATAAGGAAATATTGAGCATCCTTATTCTCGCATACCTTCTCCACACTCGCGTGTTACTAAATATGCTGCACTGCACTAAAGTGATCCGAAGTGGTATAACGACCGATAGCCTATGTAGCATAAAATGGTGTTTACGAAAATAGGTGAAAAACACTACAAGCAGTAGCACAGGGCCAAGCAATAAGTATTTAGTGAGGGCGTATTAAGCTTAATAAAATTTTCGTTCATCCTCGGACGCTTTACGCTGCGGTTATATCGGTGTAAGTATGCGAAATTTTTAAGCGGTCTTCCAATAGAAAGGAAAATCAACAATCCTCAGAGACTTCAATTTGCGGTTGGCAGAAGGCATTTCTCAAAGGCAGCGGAAGTTAATAGAGTGAGCCAGAATTCTCTTTTTTTTCACGCCCAAATGCAGCTTAAGCACATGAGCCAAACTATCGTGATATCTACAGATATGATAACGCTTGTCCAATGTTCGCTTTGGCAGTGACCTAAACAAAAATACATTGCGTAAAGTATAGTTTTCTTAATGACAAGAACAAGCATCCCGTATTTTGACCGATCAGTGCAAACGATCATAAAAGGCAGACACTACAAATGTCTATAAAGGCATATTGGTATTGTGCATTTGTACAATACGCTAACGAAGCTTTCGCGGATGCAGCAAATAGATACGTATGTCAACAAGCCGCTGAGCGATGCATCCGTGGAAAAAGAGTACGAAAATGGTAAATTTAAAAAGTAGGTTTACCCAATGCGGACTAGCGCAACCAAAGAATATTTAAATTATATTCTCAGACAAGAAGACAACGATCAGGCAAACATTTTCACCAAGTAGAATAACATGCACAAAACGAAAAAGGGCATTGAAATCCGCGGATATGCATCAAGACAAAAATGAAACCGCTGTTTCAGGTTTCGGCGCCTCATGTAAGAATTTTACATGCATGATCACTAGCTGATAGGGTTCAAACCTTTTACATGAATGTACTGTGCATCCAGAAATATGTAGTGAAGTTGGCTTAGGTTAAATGGCGTGCAAGTCTCTAAGGCCGGTCAATAGTGAATGAACATTCTTGAGGACGTCTGAAGTAGGGCTCTAGCGAAAGAGATGGAAACTAGCAAATTTTCGCTAGCAGAAAAGTCTGGGGGTATTTCAAGTTCATGTGCAAATGCGGATGAGCGTGTCTAATTTTGGCCTTTCCGCGACTATGTAGCTCGCACTGCTGCCGTATGATAAAAGCCTAAGATTTAAAAACTTCCAAACAATTGATCATGGTATTATTGCACTATCTGGATTTGCCTGAATAATTAGCTGCTAGAAAATTTAGAATTTGTGTTATCGCCCACACACAGTCAACGACGGCAAGTTGCGTATTCAGCTGTCATGGCATGCTTCCAACGAAAAACTTGATTGTGCCCGTTGTTTTACCCATACAAAGAAAGTCACGGAAGTGGCTCTTGACTTGTCAAGTATGTGGCCATAACTGACCTCTTAATTCTGCGTGCACGTACAAACGCAATTAGCCAAGTTTGCCTCCCTAAATTATACACATCTCCCCCATCCGGCCACAGAAATTAGTTCAAGCAGTACGAAATCTAGATTGAGAAATTTGTTTAAGGTAAATACATAGTAAAGTCATCCTTCAGCAAATTCGTGTCCTTTTACTAAGCTGGAACGCGCGCGGACGAGTTAAATTACGCGCCAGCGTTTTAACCAAAATGCTGACCTCCGAGTCAAAGCCGGCAACAGTATTCGTAAGCTTTTTTTTTACAAAACTTTACATGGTTGATGTTTTTGGTTTTACTTGGTTGCGACGGTTAGGACTTTATAAACCGCATTAGCTTTTCTATCGACATGGACTTAAGTATATAAGTATCTATGCAAACGTAAAAATTTATATAAAGTTAGAGAGGTTATGAGTCCACTGTGTGAGCCAATGTTCATGTGGGCCTCATGTTAATGCCCATATCCACGCGCAAATTTGGCGGAGCTCCCCGTGGCCTTACCCAAGGAGGAGGGAGTTTTCCCGTCAAGTTGTTGCCTTCAGAATCCTTGAAAAATTTTCTTGATAGAAAATGTACAGTTTAGTTTGCTTTGGCTCTAGTTATTGGAAGCTTTAGCTGTGTTTGTCACCGGTGCCCGCACGATTTTCTACAGGAAGGACTCCTAGTTAGTTTAAAGACTTATTTTAGTTTCTATATTTAATCGCCACAATTGTGGTGCGCAACTGTGAACGATACTTTCTAACACCATGGACATTGTTTGTTCCCGCCATTGCGGCAAATAGTCCTGTAGTCGGACGATCAAAATATGCTACTGACCTTCCTGTTTCCATCTTAAGACTGAAAATATGGCCGTTCACCACCTACTGGGTATCCAACTCCACATGTTTGCCAATTAGGCATTGGAATTCGAGAGATCTTTTCGGATTTCTCATTTATATTTTCTCCATCCTAAGAATTATTATTGTAATGATATTTTTATCCTTAGATTCCTAATAATATTACGTCCCATCTAATTGCTTTTCATCATAGGATCGCTCTGGGTTCGACATTCTCCTTAAGGATATCAAATCAGCCTCCCAGTTCACACGCATAGTCATTGAAGTTTTTCGAGAAAGGTACTGCTTACCTACGTTTTCTACTCAACACTTTGTTTATGTTGCACTTCTTTTCCTTCACCAGTTCATAGCTAAGTCTCCGATCAGAAACCAAATCTCTTTCAATTTTATGCACCATATCAGAGGCATTTCAGCGGGTACTTTCGTCAAATTTTATCGGGTATGCTTTTGCTAAGTTAGATAGCCAATCAGTAGGATACGTCTGCCAACTACCAGGACAACGCTTACCTTTAAAATGTATTGTAGAACCTCTGTTTATGGACTAGAGAAACAGCCTTTGCTTATGCTCGTAAATGTGGAACCCGAAACACCATTGACGTTAGACACACATAGTTGTCCTAGGCACCCGCATGTACCTTGATGTGATCGGCTGTGTCCAATTAATTAGGCTGTTATGCTCTTTTTAAATAGCACATTGCATGAAACTGTACAGATGTCGCTGATTATCTTTACCGCAATACTGCTGTATAAATTGTCAATGTCATGAAAATGGCCACGACTGTTAGTTCATCAAGTTCTGGTCAGCCCAGGGACATACACCTATACTTTGAAGTCGTTTTAGTTAAGCAACCTTGACCTCTTGCTAGATCTCGTTCGTAAACACAGCATAGTCCGTTTTAACATAACTTCAAATCATAGCCTTACTTATGGGTGCATGTATTTCGGAAGAATATCCATTTTCTTCGTTTACGACCTCCCAGATTTGCGGAAATGTCATTCGGTGTTGAGTTGTTTCAGAGTTGTGAGCGCCAATGTTGTTCCAACTTTCGATTAGAGAGTCATTGACTGTGCACAATGGTTGTTGTGAGATTCTGCTTAATGCGACATTTTTAATGAAATTTTGGAGGCGTTACCGTCAAGTCTGGCAAGTGTTTTAACAATTCAAATCTCATATTCTACTTTTCATGTCTCGCCTTTGAATACTTATACTGTCCGTCTCATTGCAAGGTAAATTTACTATGGTAGGGGACATGATTGCATTGTAGAAACTCAGAGATTCCGAAATTCAGGAGGCCTAGGCGCGTTTTAAGCGGAAACTAATACCTGAGTTATGCTAAGACACTGCTCAGCGACACGCGGGCTCATTTGAGAACCTTTCCGACCGCTTTCCGGAAAAGGAAAAGTCAGCACTTCATATGTACTTTACCGGCATAAGATTTTAAAGTTTACATAAATTCAGTCGCGTTTAGTGGAAACCATTCTCTAAATTTGACCTTACTCAACTAATTTTGCAGGGAACTACGGCTTTCCAGTCTAACGTTTAAATGTATTTCTTAATGCGTTATCATGAAACTCCTAAGACGCCCTTTTTGATATTCATTTAGTCCAGTATCAACACATTTACTACTCATGCTTAAGAAATATCGAACGTGATTTACACGTCAGCGTACTATGAGCGACTCTCTCTTAAGGGCCTAGGAATAAATGCAAAACTGCTTTCAAGGAAAGTTCATACCGCGTATTTTTTTAGATTTTGAAACAGTTGAAAACCTGCGTTGAGCATAGAATAAACTCAGTTTCTTAATACTTGAGCACCTTGTCTTTTAGGCCGAAATTTGCAAAAAGACGTAAATTAGAGCAGATTTATAAAAAATCACAATTACATGCACTCGTTCTAGAAAATACAAATGAACTTATTCGGATGTTGTAGGGATATACGGACGATGCTGTCTTCTTATAGGCGAGTTGGGGTACTTTTCTATCTTGCAGAGATTCTCGTGGTGGAATCCTCCGTTCTCACCTCTTTTACGATCACATTCGGGCATTATCTTCGAGTCGACTGAGAATGCTTCAGATTGGAAAAGTTTAGAGATCCGGGAAGATTATTAGAAGAAGAAAATTGGCTCTCCGGAACAGGTTTATTTAACTGCTGACGTTTGAAAGAGCTGGGTCGGCTCTTCATTGTCAAAGCGTAAACTGCACCTAATCGATCAGAAATTTAGTTTAAAGTGGCAAGTTGTGTTGGCCGGCCTCATGCTGATCGATTTTTCCTCTC